CCATAAACTCAGAATGGAATCTTTTATCTCTGTATCATAAAATCTCTCTTCTTTTAGTTCTGTTTACCTCCGTTTCAAATTTCCTGTTATTTAAAATACTTTGTATATATTTGTATTTATTAACTTTATATGTATACTGTATGTTTTTTTTTTAGAATGTACTTCTTGTCTCCCCCATTAGAATGTAAGCTTCTTCTGAGTAGGGATTGTTTAAGTCTTTGTACTTGTATCTCCAGTGATTAACACAGTGTAGATGCATAATAAATAGTTGATTGAATAGTGAATAGGTTTGGGAATCATATGAAGCAAAAAGAGAAGAGACCACAGGACAAAGCCTTGGAAAACAGTTAGTGGACTTGATCTGGATCCAGCAAAAAAGACCGAGGGGTAATCACATTTATAGGATGAGCACTGAAAAAGAATAGAAAGTATCCAGAAGGAAAAATTGATCAGTAATGTCAAATGCTGCAGAGAAGTCAAGAAGGATGAGGACTGAGAAAAAGTTATTAGATTTGGTTAGTAAGAGATCACTGGTAACTTTAGGGAGCGCAGTTTTAGTTCAGTGAATCCAGATGCCAAATTTCAGAGGGCTTAAGTGACAGGAGAGGAAATAATGATAGTTATTATAGAAGGCTTTTTCCAGGAATTTAATTGAGAAAGAAAGCAAATGTGCAAGATGATAATCATTGGGCATAGCAGTCTCTGATGAAGATTTTTTTTTTTTAAGTTTGGGGGAGACTTAGGGATGTTTGTAGGCAGCAATGAAAGAGCCAGTAGTTAGGGACAGATTAAAGATGAGGGTTGGGTTTTGGCAAGAGATGATTGGTAATAGGGCAAAGGGGACAAGGGATTCAAATGTTTCAGAGGATAGTGTAAAGTTGAACTGGTGGTTCAACTTTATAAGGTAAGCATTAGGAAGGGAAAGTATAACTGGAGAAGGGGTGATGGCTTGGGATAGTATGTTACAGTACTGAAAGTTGGAGAGATTGGAGATGTGACAGTGAGGACAAAGTAGGTTTAGGAGGAATGAGGGAGAGTTGTAAAGATAAAAGATTATATTAAGCTAAAGGAAATTCAGAGTATTTGAATATAGAATTGGAACTTTTGGGTGATGAAAAATTGAAAACATCGAGCACTTACTAACTCTTATGTTCAGTAATAACTTTGTGCTAGGTGCTAGGAATACAAAAACCAAGAAAATAAGATGGTCCCTACTCTCAAGGAGGTTATATCCTAATATAAGATAAAACATAAAATGGAACTAGAAAAAGTAGAAGAGTATCTGCATAGGAATGTGTCAGCTTAGTGTGGCAATAGAACAGACTGGAGAGTAAGCCAGAAGTAAAGTGAAACAGAAAGAATATGACCATTCCTGTATTTAGGTAAAGGATATAGGAGTAGGTTATGGGAATTGAATACATTGAGGAAATGGGAATTTAGGACATTTGAAGGAACCTTTTACATGTTGAAATCCCCTAGAATGAGGGAGGGAATTGGGTTGAAGGTGAAGACTGTGAGCCAGGCACTGGGGGTTGGTAAATAATGTGACCTTAAAAGAAGTTGCTGAGTGGTAGCCATAAAAAGAGACTGGAAATGGTAGTAGCGATCAAGGAGTATTGGAACAACCCCACTACAACCAGTGAGGTGGGAG